GCCCTGAATATGGCACTTTTTAAAAAATCTCAGGGCTAGGACGAAGGAGACATTACTGGTGCCTGCTCGAGGCAATTGACGAATAACAGGATGGTCGTGATCGTCGTGATTGTCATTGTTACTGTGTTTTGGCATATTGAATATGCCACGTGGAGCTTGCCAGACTCTGCCATGAGGGCAGGATACTCTTGGTAGCCTGCCGGGTTCTCCGAGAGCAAGAACTAGACAATAAGAGGTTGCACAGCCACAAATGCAGCCTTGTGCTTCTGGGAGCTTGGTTTTAAAGTCTCTGTGTCTTGGCAATTGAAGGGATTACAGGGCACCGGGGCAGATGGTGGGTGTAATGCCTAGCTACTGAAAGATGGGGGATCTGGGTGGAGAAGGCCCAGTCCTGATCTGAGCAGCCTTGGAGATCTCAGCCCTGAGTCCCACATGCCTGGGTTCCTCTGTTGGTTCCTTCATGCGTGAGGCTCGTCTGAGTGTGTGGAGAATGGCCTTGAGCATGGCTGTGGCTGGTTCCGGAGGTCTTCAGGTGCCAGGACTCTTCTTGGGGCAGAATAGAATAAAAAAAAAAAAGTAATGTGACGTTCATGCCCTAATCAATCAGCTTAATCAATGGCTGAATAAGTAGCAGTACTCCTGCATTATAAAAATTTAAAAAAAAATGAAAAAAATAAAAAGAAGAAAGCGTGTGAAGAGTATGTCACCCTGGAGCCATGAAGCCCTTGTATAAGTGATTTCTAACATGTTGCAGGTTGAGCCTATGTACTAGTATTCTGTTACTTGGGATCCGTTGCCTTCTGCTTTCTATCCCATTCAATGTGGTGTGCTACCACTGGTACATGAGTGGTGTAGAGATGAGATGTCCAGCAATGCAGAAAATCCTGTTTTTTTTTTAATGTAAATAATACTTACTCTTTCAGAGATTTGATATGCACATCTATTCTCACCCTCCCACCCCCTTTTCTCTTAAAAACAGATGTTATGGGGCTGGAGAGATGGTATGTGGGGGCTGGGGGTTCAGGTCAATGCTCTCTCCAGCTTGTCCCTCGAGCTCCTCCTGAGCTAGCCCCAGTTTTGATTGCTGGCTTCACCTGGTGCCCCTAGCATCTGGGGAGCTGCCTGGAGGCCCCTGAGCACTGCCAGGCGGGACTGAGTAACTCCCGGCACTACAGGGCTTGGGCAGCTCCGCACGCTCTGGGCCTTGCATTAAACCTCTGGTCAGGGGGCTGGAGTGATAGCACAGCGGGTAGGGCATCTGCCTTGCATGCAGTCAACCTGGGTTTGATTCCCAGCATCCCATGTGGTCCTTTGAGCACCACCAGGATTAATTCCTGAGTGCATGAGCCAGGAGTAACCCCTGTGCAAAGCCGGGTGTGACTTCCCTCTCTCCCCCGCCCCCCACCCAAGAAAAATAAACCTCTGGCCAGATTGACTGTGAGTTGCTGGAAGAACCCAGGGTCCTCATGAGCTCTGCTTGAGATGCCCTCTGTTCCTTTGGGTCCTGTTTGTTCAGCTCATTTATTCTGACCTGGATCTCAACCCTGAGTGGTAATTTGCTCAGCACTACTTGGGGTCTTTCTCAGGCTATTTTTACTCCACGTTGCCTTTGAAGCTCTTAAAGGGGATGGGACTTTGCGAGTAGCACAGCTGAGGGACTCTGCTGCCAAGCAGGCCCCCGGGGATGTGGCAGTGCTGGGCTCTTGTCTTGCATGTGTGACACTGAGTTGGATCCTCTGCAGGGACCAAGCTCTGAGTGTGATTTGAGCTCTGCCAGTGTCATCACCCCTGACTCCTAAGCCAGGTTCCCAACCCCGCAGTGCACCTTGGCAGGGGGAGCAGCCGTGGCAATAAAGGGAAGGGAGGTGTGTGTTTGTGTGGGGGGAAGAGCACAGCAAAAATTAGTGTTGCATGCAGGGTTGATCCCTGTCCTACACGGTCCACTGAATGCAGCCAGGAGTGACCCCTGAGCACACTGAGTGACTTTTCATTTTTTTTTTTATCGGAAGGGTTTATTTTTGTATGAAGGTAAACACAGAACTAACCAAAGGACTTTTTATCCAACTCATGAAAAAGAAACGCAAAGAAGAAAAAGAAATGTTTCTTATCACTCTTTATTCATGAATATAAGTTTTAAAGACACATTTCTATAAGGGTCAAGAGAGACTGGCTTATAAATTGGGAAAACAATGCTTCTTCTGAGCAGTGGACTTGACATTTTTTTAAAAGAAGAGAGGAGGAGGAGGAGGAGGAGGAGGAGGAGAAGGAGAAGAAGAAGAAGAAGAAGAAGAAAAGAGAATAAGAAGAAGAAGAAGAAGAGAAGAAGAAGAGAGAATAAGAAGAAGAAAAGAAAAGAAGAAGAAGAAAAGAGATAAGAAGAAGAAGAAGAGAAGAAGAAGAAGAAGAGAAGAAGAAGAGAGAATAAGAAGAAGAAGAAAAGAAGAGAAGAAGAAAAGAGAATAAGAAGAAGAAGAAGAAAAGAAGAGAAGAAGAAGAGAGAATAAGAAGAAGAAGAAAAGAAGAGAAGAAAAGAGAATAAGAAGAAGAAGAAGAAAAGAAGAGAAGAAGAAGAGAGAATAAGAAGAAGAAGAAAAGAAGAGAAGAAAAGAGAATAAGAAGAAGAAGAAGAAAAGAAGAGAAGAGAGAATAAGAAGAAGAAAAGAAAAGAAGAAGAAGAAGAAGAAAAGAGAATAAGAAGAAGAAGAAAAGAAGAGAAGAAGAAGAAGAAGAAGAAGAAGAAGAAGAAGAAGAAGAAGAAGAAGAAGAAGAAGAAGAAGAAGAAGAAGAAGAAGAAGAAGAAAGACTGGGGACGGGGAAGGGAAAGAGGAGGAGGGAAGGAGGAGGGGGAGTGAAGGGGGAAGAGGAAGGGGGGCAAGAGGGTGAGTGGCTAATGGAGGGGGAGAGGAAGAGAGAGGAGGACGGGAAGGAGGAGGAGAGAGAGGAGGAGGAGGGGAAAGGGAGGAGGTGGAGGAAGAAGAGGAGGAAGAGGAAGAAGAGGTTAAGAAGCTTTCAGGAGAACTCATGCATATTTATGAGTATGGAGGACCCTTACTGCTGAGGAACATACAGAGCACACGCATCACAGTCTAGAGAACGTGGAGAAACGTCCCCGGTGTTATTTCAGAATGGTGATGAGCACAAAGGTGAGTGTAGGTCACAGAGAGCTCCTTCCACTCTCTCTACTGACCAGCCCTGTCAAACCAGGAATCTAAGACTCTTATCAGCACAAAAACATTTGCGAGGTTCTAGTTTGGTCTAGTCAGCGTCAAAAGAATGTAACTCAGTGACTTCTCACAACATCCAAACTTATAAGCCTCAGGCCAGTCTCTTTTTGTTATTTTCTTTTGTTTTTGGTATTTGAGTCACACTCAGGGCATACTCCTAGCTCTGAGATCAGAGGTCACTCCTGGTGGGTTCAGGGGATCATATGTGGTGCCAGGGATAGAAGCTAGGTTGGCCGTGGGCAAGGCAATTGCCCTACCTTCTGTACTATCTCTCCAGCCCCATCTTTTTGTTTTCTTAATGCAAGAGAATCTGCATTATCTGGAGTAGGGAATGAGTTCTGATTATTTGATTAGGAGTGAAGTGAATAGGGTAGGAGTGCGTGTGTGTGTGTGTGTGTGTGTGTGTGTGTGTGTGTATGTGGTTACTATAGCATATTGGAGAAAACATGGCAACAGATTGCAACACAGCTTAAGATAAGATTCCTTTCTGGGAGGATCTGGAGATGGTTCCATGGCAAAAGCACTTGCCTTGCAAGAAAAGGGTCATGAATTCAGTCTTGGTGTTGCCCACACGCGTATATATTTAGTCTGTGGCCCCTTATGAACATTTGAAAACAAATTGCAGTAACAGAATGACACTTCACTCTTAAATATTCGAGCACAAAATTACTACTAGATTAAGCCACAAAATACTGCCCATATATAAATGCCAGTAAATTTAATGGGACATTAATTATTCTCTAAAAGCAACTCATACACATTGCACTCAGTCTTCCTCAGTTGCTCTAGAATGTTTTCTACAGCTGTTTCTTTTTCTTAGGGGTGGGGAAGAATCTGCAACACTCAGAATTTTACCCCCACGACTTCCACCCCTTACTTCAAGGAGCCGAGTGTCATGGACAGAGTATTAGAATATGGGGCATAAAATGCCTATGTGTGTGTGTGTGGGGGGGGGGCACTGGTGTGTTTGACCAGTGATTCATCAACCTTTTCATGGTCGGCCTGGAGGTTTGAGGTTTGGAGGTAAGTTACTTCAGAGGTTTCATCCTGATCCCTTGTAAAGATTGTGCTTCAGGATGTTGGCAGAAACAAAAGGTCTCACTAAAAGCTGGACAAAGGGTTTACTAGCTGACCATTGAGCTCTCTAACCTGGCAACAGTTCTGGGCAGATTTTATTCAGAGAGAAGCGTTCCAACTTCAGCAAAGGCCAGCGGTCGTTTATATATACCTTGTCAGACAACATAATATTTGTGCCAAGAAGGAAAGAAACCATGTATGAGTGAAGTAAAAAAAAAAAAAAAAAAAAAAGATTTCTGGAAAAGGGCTTCTGGCTTTCACTGATAGGGTGTAGCCTTTTGTTACTCTGAACTCTACTAACCACACAACATGTCCAGGGAGAGAGGGGAAAGACACACGCCCAAGTCGTAGAGGTAACAGTCCCAAGGTCTGAAGAACGTGCCCCGGACACCCGTGGGCCATCCCTTCTGCATCCTGAGGGTTTTTACGGGACGGTTCCACGTCGCTGCAGCTCTACTGCCTGGCTGCCGCGCAGAACAGGGCGAACCTGTTTCGGGCTGGAAGTCCTGCCGGGGCTCTGCCTTGGGGGTCCCCCGGATCCGTGCTGGCTCCCCAGGCTTCCAAAGCCACAGGCTTGCCCCCACTCTGCGACCCCCGCCCCCGCCCCGACCCCCGCGCTCGGGCCCGCAGAAACCCGAAGCGGCCGGCAGAGGGCGCGGGCGGGGCGCGGGGCAGCGGGGTCGCGCCGGCCGGGCCGCCCCCTCCCCGGCGGGGCGCGCGTGCGCCGTCCCCAGGAACCGCTGCGGCCGCGATGGACCAGGGCTCGCTGACCGTCCGCCAGGTAAGCGGCGCCGGCGGGGAGGCCCCTGCCCCGGCGACCTCGTACTGGTGACCGGCCCTGAAGTTGCCCTGGCCCTTATTCTCGGTGCTCCCCGGAGCGGCTCGGCCAGCCCTTCCCCGTTGGGCGTTTGGCCCCCAGATGTCCCTGGGGTCCCGGTCTCTCGGCCCGCACAGTTCCCCCGAAGCCCCCCCCCACCCCCGCCACCCCAAGCCCGCAGCCCTTGATGAAAGCCCCCGCTCCCACCCCAGCCCCACTCCCGGGCTAAATTCGAGCTGTTGGAGATCACGATGCTCCCCACCCAGTTTGGCGGCTTCAGCTGCGCTTGATGGGTTGCACGGACCCCCCACCCCCACCCCCACCCCCGAGCGACCCTTGCAGCTTCTTGGAGCCCACCAGAGCTTCCCTGCGGGCGTCCCCGCGGGGCTGGTCGCCCTCCCCGGCCGGGACCCTGGCCGGGGCGGTGTGTGCGTCTTTCCCTTTCCGAGGGGTGGAATCCGCGCTGGGTGCCGTCGCAAGGTGCTTCTAGAGGCACCCGGAGCTGCTGGGTGCAGCAGGCAGGACCCGTCAGAGGCGGCTGCGCACCCACCCAAAGGGGGCAACTCTGAAAATACACAGACTGCACGCTCGGGCTGCTGACTAGGTCCAGACTTTTGGCCTTTGATAACCATTCCCTAAACGATGCGGAATAGCAGCCCCCCGCCTTCTTTTTTTTTGGAGGGGGTCAGAAGGTTATAGACAATTTTTTTTGGGGGGGGGAAGGGTCACACCTGGGGATGCACAGGAGTTACTTCTGACTCTGCACTCAGGAATTACCCCTGACCGTGCTCTGGGGGACCATATGGGACGCTGGGAATTGAACCCGGGTCCACTGCGTGCAAGGCAAACGTCCTACCGGCTGTGCGATATCCCTCCAGACCCGGTTATAGACAATTTATGGAATGGTAGAGATAGCAAAATCTTAGGTGCCTTGAAAACAACCCGCTAATAGGGGCTGGGGAGAAAGAATAGGGTTACGGCGCTTGCGTGCCTGGCATACAGCTCACCCTGATTTCATGCCCAGCACCATATAGTTTCCGAGCACTGCCAGGAGTGATTCCCTTCCCCCGACCCAACACCCCCACTGAATAGCCAGGAGCAGCCCCCGGGTGCCTCTGCGTGTGAGCTAAAATCCCGCTCCCCCAAGTACAAAAATGAATAAAAGAGGCTGCTAGTACAGGCTAGTGAAGGATTGTGTGCATGTATGCTTGTGTGCTCGAGGGAAGAGCGCTGGGTTGAGTGTCAATTAAATTTCAGTTTTAACCAATTTTAGAATGTTTCTGGGAAGGGGACCCCAGTCACAGTGTGCTGATTTGCCCGTAGCAGCACAAATGAGCTTATGTAAAATCCGTAAATGGGGATTGTATTGCCTACAGAATCCCCGCAGTCCTAATGCAGTGACTCAGTGCTAGAGCCCTTGCCTTGGATGTGTGAGGTCCTGAGTTTGAGTCCTGGCACTGAAAAAAAAAATGTTTGTTTAAATGTTGTGAGTGCGAAATAATAATAATCAGCTGTCACTGTCACTGTCCTCCCGTTGTTCACCTCCCTTTGTGAATCGATTTGCTAGAGTGGGCCCAGTAACGTCTCCATTGTGATACTTGTTACTGTGTTTGGCATATCGAGTACGTCACGGGGAGCTTGCCAGGCTTTGCCGGGGGAGCGAGATACTCTCCGTAGCTTGCCGGGCTCTCCGAGAGGGGCAGAGGAACCAAACTCGGGGCAACCCTGGGTTGGCCGCGTGCAAGGCAAAAGCCCTACCCGCTGTGCTATCGCTCCAGCCCAATAATAATGATAAATTTAAAAATAACTGTTGTGAGTACTGAGAGGGCCAGTAGCTGTTTTTAAAATATTGTCAAGTCAAGTGCACAGCAGGTAGGGCATTTGCCTTGCACGCGGTGGACCCGGGTTTGATTCCCAGCATTGGTCCCCCGAGCACCGCCAGGAGTAATTCCTGAGCACAGAGCCAGGAGTAAGCTCTAATCACCACTGGTTGTGACCCAAAAAGAAAAAAAAAACACATTGTCAAGGATGGGGTGGCTCTCGGTTTACCAGATAATTTCCAGGAATCTAACCAAGGTTGCAGGCCTTATGCTCTCTGGAGCCATGGCCTATCCCGCTTTGGTAAACTCCTCTCTGAGCATTCGTTTGTCCTGAGTGTGTCAGAAGAATGTCCTCAGGGTAGTGCAGAGCAGCGGACCTGCAGAAAACGGGGCACAGTAAAGCACTTGTATATAAAGGTCATCTGTGATCTCATGGCTTTTGACGTACCTTATGGATAGCCAAGGAAAAGTCCAGGTGTCCCTCTGGATTGGCAGAGGTTGTTGAAAGAAGCCATGAACAAACATATTGATCTAATCACTATTATCTTAATATCAGTTGATTTCTGATAAATATTGGTGAGAAGACTGGAGTGATAGCACAGCAAGGAAGGCACTTGACTGTCCACAGCTGACCTGGGTTCGATCCCTGGCCTATCCATGAGTGATTCCTGAGTGCAGAGCCAGGAATAACCCCTGAACATCGCCGGGTGTAGCTTCAAAACCCAAACAAACAAAAAACCCAAAATAACCACCAACCTCACTCAAATCAGAACATATTGGTGAGAGTCAGCCATTCTGGTAGTGTTGGCTAGGTAGAGAGGGCCTTCCCGGGAGGAACTGTGTCAGGGACACAATAGGCAACTCTGAGACACCCACCCTGCACCCAAGCCTAATAGGATCAGTTGGACTCTTAGAGAAATAGCCAGGAATAATCACTCTAACTCACTGGTTTTATATAATAATTCAATCTTTGGAAGACCAGTCCTATTTGATTTTTTTTTCCTTTTTGTTTTTGAACCACACCTAGTGCTGCTCAGGGTCTGCTTCCAGTTTGCTCTTTGGGGGTCACTCCAGTGGTTGTTGTTGGACCACAGGGTGCAGAAATCAAATTTGCACTCTAGCTTTCAAGCGGTCTGGAGCGATAGCACAGCGGGTAGGGCGTTTACCTTGCACGCAGCCAACATGGCCGACCCGAGTTCGATTCCTCTGTCCCTCTCGGAGAGCCTGGCAAGCTACTGAGAGTATCTCGCCTGCGCAGCAAAGCCTGGCAAGCTACCCGTGGCGTATTTGATATGCCAAACACAGTAACAAGTCTCACAATGTTACTGGGCCGGCTCGAGCAAATCAGTGAACAACGGGAGGACAGTGACAGTGACAGTGATAGCTTTCAAGCATATGCACTGGGCCTTCGAGCTGCCCACCCAGTCCTGTGGAAAACCTGTTCTATTTTACAACGAACTGTATTCATTATTTAAGGAAGAGTTGGAAGGTGGTGGCGCATGGGTTCCCACTCCTAAAAAAAAAAAAAAAAGCAGCAGTTTGTAAGCTTAAAAGAATCGATTTAAATTTATTCCTCTTTAGGTCAAACTGTCCATCCCCGCTACAGGCCATTTCACATTTTATTATTTAAAAAACTTTTTAAAAAAAATATTTATTAGTGAAACTCCATGTGGTACAGTTGTTGACCTTACAAATTTTTGTGCTTGTGTTTCAGTTATACAATGATTGAGTACCCATCCCTCCACCGGTGCCCATTCCCCACCTCCAGTGCTCCCAGCATGCCTCCCCCCTCCCAACCCCTCCGCCCACCGTGGCGGGGCATTCCCTTTTGTTCTCTCTCTCCTTTTGGGTGTTGTGGTCTGCAAAAGAGGCATTGAGTGGCAATCACGTTCAGTCCATAGTCTACTTTCAACATTCATCTCCCCTCCTGGGAGGATCCTCCAAACACCCTTTATTTGGTGCTCCCTTCTCTATCTGAACTGCCCTTTCCCCTAAACTATGGAGTAATCCTCCTGGAGCTGATCTCAGCTATTCTTGGGTATTAATCTCCTATTTTGTTACTTTATATCCCCCAGATGAATGCAGTCTTTCTATGTCTGTCCCTCTCTTTCTAATATAGTCTACTTTCAGCATGCATCTCTCATCCTGGGAGGGTCCTTAAAGATCTTTTATTTCATTGTACTTTGGGTAACATGGCTATACTGGTGATCATGTTTATGCTTTTACTGTACAAAGTTACTGTGCCTTTCCAACCACGAAAATCCCAAAGATCCATCACCATTGTCCTCATGGCACCTCTAGTCCACACTTTCTTTCTTTTTAAAATTTTATTTTTATAAAGTTGTTCACAATAACTTACTACACTCAATATTCCAACACCAATCTACCACCATTATACTTCTCCTCCCCCCCCCCCACCACCATTATTTCAAATTTTCTCACCGTCACCCAAGTCTACCTCAAGGGCAAATCCTAAATAATTTATTTTGTATTGCTTGTTATGAATAATCTGCTAAAAATTATCCAAAAAGATTTCCCTAGAGGAAAGTATGTGAAAATCGTATCTCACCTTGGAGCCATTAAGCCCTTGTATAAGAGATTACTAACAAGATTTTTGATCAAGGTTGATTGCCTTCTACTTTACACCGCATCATATGTGGTGTGCTACTCGTGGTATATCAGTGTAGGATAACATTGGTTTATCCTCTCAGGCTTGCTGTAGGGAACTTGGGTTTATCGGGTTACACCCATCACAGTGCTCCTGAGTGACTCTCATTCCTCTGTGTTTATCTGTGAACTCTTCTCTCTGCTCTCCTCCCTAACCACTTAATCATCTTTTCCCCCTAATCAGATTCTGTTAACTTTTAAGGTCAGATCCTTCTAAGGACACTGAACTTGTATTGTAAGTTAAATATTGCTTTTCCCCATCTTTTGCATAGTTTTCTTTAAAGTAGTGTCCTTTTTGTATGAACACAGAAAGACAGTTAATATTATGCTTTTGAAACTTGGAAGTTAATTGACTCTGAATAATATTCACTCCTAGACATCTGTTTTCTCGACTTAAGCCTCAGTTTCCCTTAGTTCCTAGCACCCCAAAGACAGAGTCCTGATGAGGAACTGAATGGACCCAGGGCAAGCTGTGAGCTATCCTGGCATCGAAATGGGCCAGGCCAAAGCGGCACAATACTCAACTATAAATTGAGAGCATGGTCATGGACAAACTCCGTCATGATCCAAAAGAGGTGACTGAATAAGGACCCTGCTGGGGTTGGGAAGACTAACCTGGCCTGAGGACTGTGGTCTGCAATCTATAGTGACATGTCCCCAGAAAGAACCAAACTTTAAGCTTGATATCTCTTAGGGTGCTCATACAAAGTGATATTGCTAGAAATATTAGAAGTAAATTTACTACAACTATTTAAGTGGATTACAAGCCAGGGAAAGAAGAAAGCATGAATGGAATCCCCACTTGAGCAGATCTCCTAGTAATCTGGAGTAATCTCTTTAGGTGAGATTTTGTCCTTGAGTTAATCTCCTGGAGGAGCGGCCTTACCTCACTTTGTTGATTTGTTAATGTTCAACCCCACCTTTGTATCCCCACCCTACATGATTTCTATATAAACTAGGCTGTAAGGGTGTGTAGGGGAAGCCGGAAGGAGAATGACGGGGGATCCAGAGAGAGAAGTCACTGTCACTGTCACTGTCCTCCCGTTGATCATCGATTTGCTTGAGCGGGCCCAGTAACGTCTCCATCATGAGACTTGCTGTTACTGTGTTTGGCATATCGAATACATCTCGGTAGCTTGCCGGGCTCTCCGAGAGGGGCAGAGGAATCGAACTCGGGTCGGCCATGTTGGCTGCATGCAAGGCAAACGCCCTACCGCTGTGCTATCGCTCCAGCCCAGAGAGAGAAGAAGGAGGGGAATTAGGAGAATGGAGAGGAGATAGGACTAAACTGCAATTTATACCGACCAGCCTGGTCCTCATTCCTCCTGCCCATCGCCCATCGGCCTGCCTGGGGTGGGGGAAGCGGCCCAAGACCACTGAGAGACCACCAAACGCAAGTGGCAGGAGAGAGAGAGTTCCGCTGCCCTCCAGTAAATACACACATCAGTGGCATAAAGTATGAGATGTTGCTCCAGGAATTCTAAAATTTTAAATAGGGTGATAGAGCTGGATTTAATTTTTTTAACTGGATGGTGATTTTGTGGTCCGGAGGCATCTCTGCAACTTATTGCTCTTTTCTGAGATTTATTTGTGAGTTTCTAGATGATGGCCCTTAGTGAGCTTATATCGTGCCAGGAGCAGTTTGTGGGCATGACCACCAGGCTCCTGGAAGAACAGGAAGATGGGGGGAGGTTGCCCATCCCTGACTTGTTATTCTACCACTCTCTTTTCCAACCCTCTTCCTCTGCTACTTGGCAACTTCAGTTCTATAATCCAGGGCCAAAGATTTGTTATCATTCATTTTACTCTTTGTCATTCTTTATGTTCTTTTATCGTTCATTCTTTATATGGCACATATGGGTGGCATAACTCCCTGTTTGTCTTTTTCTCTCTAATTTCTTTTGTTAACATGATACCTGCTAGTGCCGCGTGGTAACAGGAGGCAAGATTTTGTCTCCCCGATAGTATCCTATTGTGCAGTATACCTTAACTTCTTTTTCATCAGTCATTGGATGTTTGGGCTGTTTTCATATCCAGGCTATTGTACTTACTGTTGCCGTGAACTTAGGTGTGCCTGTTTTGATTGAACATTTTGTGTTCTTGGGAGAAATCCCAAGAAGAAGGATTTCTGGCACATACGACAGCTCTATTTTTGATTTCTTTTTTTCTTTCTTTCTTTCTTCCTTCCTTCCTTCCTTCCTTCCTTCCTTCCTTCCTTCCTTTCTTTCTTTCTTTCTTTCTTTCTTTTTTTATTGGCTTTTGTGGTCACACCCGGCGATGCACAGGGGTTACTCCTGGCTCATGCACTCAGGAATTACTCCTGGCGGTGCTCAGGGGACCATATGGGATTCTGGGAATCCAACCCGGGTCAGCCGCGTGCAAGGCGAATGTCCTACCTGCTGAGCTATCGCTCCAGTCCCCTCTACTTTTGATTTCTTGAGAAATCTCCATACTGTTTTCCATAGAGGCTGAATCAGATGATATACCCACCAGCAGTGAATGAAGGTTTCTGTTTTCTTTTTCTTTTTCACTGCATCCCTGCCAATACAGGTTGTTTTCAGACTTTTTGATATATGATATTCTCTCTGGTGTGAGGTAGTTTCTCATTATTATGATTTGCATTTCCTCAATTATCAGTGTTGGTAAACTCTATTTCATATGCCTCTTGGCTGTCCTTATGCCTTCTTCAGGGAAGTGTCTGAGATCTTCCTGCCCCAATTTAATTGAATTTTTAAATTAATTTAAAATTTTTATTTTCCCCTTACACTTTATATAGACACTATGGTTTAAGAAGTTCTAAAAATATGGAACGTTTCACGAATTTGTGTGTCTTCCCTGTGCAGCGGCCATGCTAATCTCTGTATTGTTCCAGTTTTAATAGCATGTGCTGCACAAGCGAGCACTCTCCCCAATTTTTAAAATGGATTTATTGGTTTTCTTGTTGTTGAGCTTTGTGAATTTAGCACAGCGGTAGGGCCTTGCATGTGGCGGGCCCGGCCGACCCAGGTTCGATTCCTCTGCCCCCCTCAGAGAGCCTGGCAAGCTACCGAGAGTATCTCGCCCGCATGGCAAAGCCTGGTAAGCTACCTGTGACGTATTCGATATGCCAAACACAGTAACAGTCTCACAATGGAAATGTTACTGGACTCGCTCGAGCAAATCAATGAACAACGGGAGGACAGTGCGACGGTGCTATCTTAGATATTAGACCTTTATCTGTTGTATGGCATGCAAATATTTTCGCCCGTGTGTTCTTATTTTAGCTTGAATTTCTTTCACTGTGTAAAAAGTTTTCTGTTTGATGTAGTTTACTTAGTTTGTTTTCATTTTTTTTAATCTTTGTCAATGGAGTCAAATCATTGGAGACAGCTCTGAGCTTCATATGATATAATATTTTAGGTCAGTGTGTTCCAGAACATGGAGAATTTAGAAAAGGCAAGATTTACTGTGTTTAAGGCAAAGCTTACCAATTTGTTGACTATTTTATGTTATGTAATTATCTAAAATTATAGGGGCTACCTTGTTTAAATGTCATGGGATTTCCCTGGATAAGTGTTGTTTGAGCCAGTATTGATTAAAGCTTTCAAGATTTGTCATTTGATGGATTTCAGCATTTATTTGAAGTTAATCTAAAACCTATGCTGTTGGGGTACAAAGCCAGCATTTTGTTTATGAAATTATTTCAATAATTTAATGACTATTTTAATAATAATTAAAACAATCTTATTGTTTTTGATTTCCAACTTCAAATTGTGAATTTCTTTTTCATTTTTTCCTTTCTCCCTATATCCAGCTTTGTTTATTTCTTCATTTTTTTTTTTTTTAGTTTCAGTGATTAGTGAGTATGCTTCTGGTAGAGGGGGTTCTCTTTTGTTCTGAGGGGTCGCTCCTGGCGATGCTCAGGGGACCGTACGTGGATTCTGGGATTGACACAGAGTCTGCTGCTAGCAAGGCAGGCGTCCGACCTGCTGTCCTCTCTCCAGGCCCCTCTACTCTTTTGTATTTACAAATTTCCTTTCCCCGAAAGCCTCAAATTAATTATAATTAGGATTATGTGGTTTCCCCTGGTGACCGGTTACTTCATAGAGTTTGAGAACTGCGAGCTTCAAATGCCCTTTAATTACACCTTCGCTGTGTCTTGCAGATCCATGGATGCTTTTCCATGTAATCCTCAGGATCAAGATTTTAGATCAAGCAGAGACTTAGGGTCTGAAGGAACAGCTCAGAGGGTTGGTGCACATGCCTGGCACGTGGAAGCCCTTACTTTTTAAATTTAATTTTATTTTTTTGAATCACCGTGAGATAGTTACAAGCTTTCATGTTTGGGTTACAATCACACTATGATCAAACACCCATCCCTCCACTAGTGCACATTTCTCACCACCTATATCCCCAGTAAACCCCCCCTTTTCCACCCTCCCCCTCCCTCCATGGAAGACAATATTCTCCATACTCTCTCTCTACTTTTGGGCATTATGGTTCGCAATACAGATACTGAGAGATTATCATGTTTGGTTCTTTTTCCACTTTCGGCACACATCTCCCGTCCCAACCGATTCCTCCAACCATCATTTTCTTTGTGATCCCTTCTCTATTCCAGCTGCCTTTTCCCCTCCGCTCAAGAGGCAGGCTTCCAGCTATGGAGAATCTTCCCGGCCCTTGTATCTAGTGTTTTTGGGTGTCAGTCTCATGTTATGTTATTTTATATTCCACAAATGAGAGCGGTTATTCTATGTCTGTTCCTCTCTTTCTGACTCATTTCACTTAGCATGATACTCTCCATGTTTGTCCACTTATAAGCAAATTTCATATCTTCATCTTTTCTAACAGCTGCATAGTACTCCACTGTGTAGACGTACCGAAGTTTCTTTAACCAGTCTTCTGTTCTAGGGCACTTGGGTTGTTTCCAGATTTTGGCTATTGTGAATAGTGCTGCAACAAACATTTAGGTACAAATGTCATTTCGACTGTGGGAAGCCCTGACTTTTAGCCCCATTACTGAGTGGTGCCCCAGGCACTTCCAGCCCCTAGCACTGTGGTACCAGCTGAAAGGTGAAACTCTCTGGGAGGGGTCCCTAGTCCCCTGAGCCGGCTTGTGGGTCCCCTCTCTCTAGAAACACCCTCACACCGAGGCATAGGCAGCAGCCATGGAGGTTTTTAAGGATCCTGATGTGCTCTGTGCTGTTTATCTTCTTTTTCTTTTTTGAAATATATTTCTTTTCCTTTTTGTTTGTTTTTCATTTTTTGTTGATTCACTCTGAGATAGACCCTTACGAAGCTATTCATGATTAGGTGTCAGTCACACAGTGTTCCAACACCCTTCCCTCCACCAGTGTACATTCCCCAGCACCAGTGTCCCCAGGTTCCCTCCCATCACCCCCCCCCCCCAACCCCCAGCCTGCCACTATGCCAGGTACTTGTCTTCTCTCTCTCTCTGTCTCTCTCTGTCTCTGCTTCTGTTTCTGCCTGCCTGCCTGTCTCTCTCTCTCCTTTTGGGCATTGTGGTTTGCATTACAGACACTGAAAGGTTATCATGTATGTTCCTTTACCTACTTTCTTGTCTGGCATGATCATTTCCAACTATTCTTGTCATACTGGTCCCTTCTCTACCTTACTACCCTCCGCCTCCCACACTTGCGAGAGATTCCAACCATTGAGTCTTTTCCTTTTCATTCTTTTCTTTTCTGTTTTCTTCTGGGGCCATGCTGGCAATGCTGCTCATGACTTACTCCTGGCTCAGTGCTCATGGGTCACTTCTTTTTTTAAATTTTTTTTTAAGTTGAATCTCCGTGAGATGTTCTGTGCTGTTTAATGACTGCACCGCATGTGTACACATGCACCTCTCCCAGCACGCCCCTTTCTCTTTTAAACTCCATCGTGACTTCTTTCGTGAACTTGGTCTGAACCTTGCAGAGGGTATATAATCTTTCCCCCAAGCGCGCTATAGACTGGGGAATCAATGCCTGGCTGGGATATGAGTTATCTATTTAAATTCACTCTCTGTAATCCATCATAATCTATTTGTCAGTTTCTCTACCAATGTGCAGTCAGGTTGTTTACACTTTTTATTTTTTTAATTTTTACTTTTTGAGTTACACCCGGCGATGCTCAGGGATTACTCCTGGCTCTGCACTCAGGAATCACTCTTGGCGGTGCTCAGGGATCCATATGGGATGCTGGGAATCGAACCCGGGTCGACCACATGCAAGGCCAACGCCCAACCCGCTGTGCTATAGCTCCAGCCCCTGTTTACACTTTCTTAGCCTTATAAACTTGCTTGCCTCCTGTGTGCACATCAAGTTAGATCCCACCAGGAATTGAAATTATTCTCCAAAGAGGCTGAACCAATTGACACTCCCAGTGCATCTTTATTTTTAAAATGTTAGTTTTGGTAAGATGGTAATAATGTTAATGTTGGTATTGATGCACAACATTACTTTAGCCCACCACCGCCAAAGTGTACCAGATGTTCCTCCACTGTTCTTTTTCACCTCTACTCTCTCTCTTCTGCTCTCCTAGCCCTCCCCCCAGTTTTTTGATAATTTGAACTTTGTGATCTGAAGCCAAGGGTTTGTCCTCTTTTGATACTGTATATATGTATGTAGTTTTTGTTATTTTGTTATTCTTTTTTTGGGGGGGTGCTTTTTGGGTCACATCTGGTGATGCTCAGGGATTACTCCTAGCTCTGCACTCAGAAATTACTCCTGGCAGTGCTCTACGGACCTTATGGGGTTCCAGGAATCAAACCTGGGTTGATTAAGTGCAAGGCAAACTCCCTGTCCACTGTACTATTGCTGCGGCCTATTTTTTTTTTTTATAATTTATTTCTTTATTGAATCACTGTGGGAAAAGCCACAGAGCTCCCGGGCCTAGGTCTCAGTCATGCAAACATCAAACACACTTCCCTTCACCAACACTCATCTTTTTTTTTCCCTTTATTTTATTTTATTTTTTTTAAAGTTGTAGATTTACAATTTTTTGTGCTTTGGTTTCAATTATACAATGATCAGATACCCATCCCTCCACCAGTGCCCATTTTCCACCACCATGGATAATATCCCTCCCACCCCCATCCCCCCCATCCCCCCTGTCTCTGTGGCAGGGCAATCCCCTGTGTTCTCTCTTTCCTTTTGGGTGTTGTGGTCTGCAAAAGAGGCATTGAGTGGCAAACATGTTCAGTCCATAGTCTACTTTCGACATGCATCTCCCCTCCTGGGAGGATCCTCCAAACATACTTTATTTGGTGCTCCCTTCTCTATCTGAACTGCCCTTTCCTCTAGGATACCTGGCTGGCCTCTAAGTTATGGAATAATCCTCCTGGTGCTGATCTCAGCTATTCTTGGGTATTAATCTCATATTTTGTTACTTTATATCCCCCAGATGAATGCAATCTTTCTATGTCTGTCCCTCTCTTTCTGACTCATTTCGCTTAGCATGATACTTTCCATATTGTACCACTTGTATGTAAATTTCATGACTTCATCTTTTCTAAGAGCTACATAGTACTCCATTGTGTAGATGTACCAAAGTTTCTTTAACCAGTCATCTGTTCTTGGGCATTCAGGTTTCTTCCAGTTTCTGGCTATTGTAAAGAGTGCTGCAATGAACAAACAAGTGCAGATGTCACTTCGACTATACATTTTTGCCTCTCTGGGATATATTCCCAGGAGTGGTATTGCTGGGTCAAATGGGAGCTCAATTTCTAATTTTTTGAGAATCGTCCATACTGTTTTCCAGAAGGGCTGAACCAGTGGACATTCCCACCAACAGTGAAGGAGTGTCCCTTTCTCGCCACATCCACGTGCGGCCTATTTTTATATTATTTTATCCCTCTATCTACCATGGAGCTAAGGACTTTGTTTTATTCACTATTTTTTTTTAATCACTAGTCCCAATCGAACTATGTAACACATTGTGGTAGGAAATGTTGATAGTCTATATAAATTTAAGAACTGTAGAAACACAACCATTATTTTCTAAACGTTTGAGCATTGTCTGTGGAAAGTTAATTTACACTTCCCCCCAAATGAGATTTTCTTGATAAATTATTAAAATTGTTTCATACTTGTTTCCAGGTGTTAAGTAAAGGAGATTCGAGCCTTACCACCGAACCACAGGAAGAGTTAGAGGAAACTCCTAGTCCAGTTGTGGATGAGAATATTGTGACAGCCAAAAAACAGGGGCCAAATTTCCATAACTGGAGTAGTGACTGGAGCTTTTGGGTAATATTTTTATTTCTTATATCTGTGTTTTAACTCTTAATACAGTTTCTTTAATTATATAGCAATTCATGTGATATAAGATGATATAAGAATATAAGATTTTTTTTTTCTTATTAGCTTTTAGTTTTGCACCTACCCCCCATTTTTTTAAGTTTAGTTTTTGTCTGTTGTCCCAAAGACATTTCTGACTGTGCTCACCTGTGGCCACTAGAGGGCGCTATTGTCTGGTTTTGATAGTGTGGAATGAACCTGTTCAAACTCCCTGGGAGAAAACTATCAGAAAATCGGATTCCTTTTAATTGTTGTTCACTGTGTTGGCACAAGATTAACATTAAGCAGAAAGCGTATTTTAAGTGTTGCTGAAAGACCAGCTACTTTACGTCATTTTGATTTAAGGAAGTAGTTCTTGCACCTGAAAGATGTTTAGCAAGGTTTGACCTGAAGCATATAATGATTACATGGTAGTTTTTGTTTTTCACTGTTCTGGGAAAAAATGAGACTTAATCAGCTTTAGGTAGGTGGGAGGTTTTAATTTAGGAGTTTCATATTATGTTGCCCTGTGCTCACTGGTTACATAATCTGTCTAAGCATCAGGTTCCCCTGTAAATTCAGACAGCTGCTGGGCCCGTGGTCTTTTTGTAAGAATAGTCACTGTCACTGTCCTCCCATTGTTCATCAATTTGCTCGAGCGGGCCCAATAACATTGTGAGACGTGTTACTGTGTTTGGCATATCGAATACGTCACGGGTAGCTATAAGAATAGTATTTCTGTTATTGCACGAATTTTAACATTTATTCTATAGTAAAGGGCTAACTTAAAATAAAGCTATTCTCTATTACGAGTTCTTTGATAGAATTCAGTATAATGTAACATAAGTAAGGTTTATAGAACTTGTAAGGCATATATAATTAAAATATTTATTAGGAAGTTGTTTTCTTAAAGACCTGGTGTTTTTTTTTTCTATTTTGGGTCACACCTTGCGATGCTCAGGGCTCCTGGCTCTGTACTCAGGAATCACTCCTGGCGATGCTCGAGGGACCATATGGGATGCTGGGAATCGAACCCGGGTTGGCCACGTGCAAGGCAAACGTCCTACCTGTTGTACTACCGCTCCAGTCCCGGTAGCAAAATTTCTTGCAATAAAACTTACTTATTTTTGTTTATGGGGCCACATCCAGTGACCTTTCAGGAGATTCTCCTGGCAAAGTGCTCAGGGTTGTTCTTATTGTTTGTTTGGAGGACCATGTGGTACAAAGGATTGGACCTGGGACTCAGGCATGCAAAGCGTGTGCGTTAGCCCTTTGAGCTATCTTTCTGGCCCTGCTCTGGGACTTTTACAGCTTCCGTCATAGATAGGAAGTATTTTAACAGCTCCAGAGGCAATCTACAGGGCTAAGAATTAATCAACAAATTTGGCACAAGTAATTAAAAGGATAAATGGAGAAAAGGAAAAAACAAGGAGGGGCTGGAGTGATAGTACAGCGGGTAGGGTGTTTGCCTTGCACGTGGCCGACCCACGTTTGACTCCCAGCATCCCATATGGCCTCCTGAGCATCACCAGGAGTAATTTCTGAGTGCATGAGCCAGGAGTGACCCCTGTGCATTTGGCAGGTGTGACCCAAAAGCAAAAAAATAAAAAAAGGAATTAACAAGGAAATGAGAATTAGAAATAGGAGGCTGACCTGGTTCTACACTGGCCCTTACCTGGTTTGTTCCCTGACGTCCACCAGAAATGACCCCTGAGCACAGTGGCAAGCACAAGTCTTGAGCCCTCCAGGTGTGGCCAAAACCAAACAACAACTAAAGGAAGAAATCAGAGGCTGGGCCAAGGAGACGGTTCAATGGCTGAAGCACACGGTTTGCTTTCAAGAGCCCCTATTTGGTCCCCCCATAGCACCGCTGGGACTTATTCCTCGGCTGAGCTGGGAGTAGACCTCAAGCACCTCTGGGTGTGGTCCAGAACCAAATAAATAAATACATAGGAGTCAAGATGAAAAACAACGAGGTCTGTGTTTCAGTTTTGCTTCTCCAAGCGCAGTCTGTGGGGCTGGCAGGCTCAGCCTCACCGGTCAGCGGGTCGCAAGTGCAGACTCCTGCGTCCAGCTCCGCAGGCTGGCTGCCCCTGTCTCCGTTTTCGCAGGCTGGCCACGTGACTCGCGTGCACAATGAAGTCTGAGAAATATGGGCTTGGATAGTGGAAGGTCCTTGTTGGCTCAGGTTAGGTCGTGCCGATTGCAAATACTTTCTGTTTTTTGTTCTTATTTTTTAACGAATCACTGTCACATAACAGTTACAGACTTACAAACTTCTTGTGATTAGTTTCAGCTATACCATGATCGGTGATCGAGCACCCATCCCTCCACCAGTGCCCACTCTCTGCCACCAATGTTCCCAGTATCCCTCCCGCCACCCCCACCTCACCACCCCTCCCTCTGTGCCAGACACATCCCCTCTTACTCTCTTTCTCTTTTTGGGTGTTATAGTTTGGTTCCAAATACTTGGTATTGCAAAAATTTTACGTGAGTTGACATCGAAAAGACATGAAGACAAAACAACATCTCAGACGTTTTAGACTCTTGCGGAGGAACAATTAGAACTCAGAATCAAAGAAAAGCCAATAATACCCGAAAAAACAACATTAATGTTCACGTGGGCCTATCTTGTAATAAGATCATTCTTCAAGTCTTCTTTTGTAGTTTTTTTTTTTTCCCCTCAAAAAAGAAAATTTATTAGGGTTGAGTATAAAGTAAATTACTATTTACTAGAAGTAATCTGGGGGTGGAAATCACCTTCTCTTATATTTAGGAATACTCAGTGTTTATTATCTCATATAGTTTTCTTAATCCTGGTGTGAGGTTATATATCTGCTTATTTTTTTTTGAATGAACTTTGGGTTTAGGTTTTATAAGTCTCATTAGGTTAGTTCCCATATTTTTGTTGAACAGAATGTTGTAAAGATGGGGATTACTTAGTAAAAGCACATAGGTATTCGCAAGAAATGATAATGGAAGTATAAAAAATGTATGGCAACCTGGACTCTTTAAGGGAGGGGGGGCAGAGGTCTATGCAGCTGAGCTGACGTTAGTACAGTACTGTAAATATGTGGGAGAAATGATGATTAGGCGGGGGCCCGAGTGAGAGTACAGTGTGTAGGGCATTTGCCGTTCACAGGGTAGACTTTGGTTTGATCCCCGGCAACCCATATGTTCTCCCAAGCACGGATAGGAGTGATTCCTGATTGCAGAGCCAGGGGTAACCCCTGAGCATGCTGGGTGTGACCCAAAGAGCCAAAAAAGAAAAAGAAAGAAATGACGTTTAAGTTGTCTGTTAGGAGAAAGTGCGAGGGCCAGAGAAATAATACAGGAGGTAGGACATTTGCCTTGCATGTGGCAGACCTGGGCTTCATCACTGGCATCCCAGATAGTCCCCTGAGCCCTCCAAGAATCGCCCTGAGGGCAGAGTCAGGGGTAACCCCTTAACATCACTGGGTGTGATTGTAAAACAAAAACCAAACAGTGTAAGTTATCTGTCAGTTGTAAAAACTTTAACACACTTTTTGTTTTTGGGCCACATAGGCATTGCTCGGGGCTTACTCCTGGCTCTGTGCTCAGGGAATAACTCTTGGTAGGGCTCAGGGCACCATATGGGGTGTTGGGGATTGAACCCAGTCACCTGCATCTCGCCCACTGTGCTTTCTCTCCAGTCTTGGAGCACGTTTTCTCAACATGAACCAGGAGACAGCTCAAAGAGCTAGAGTACGCCTCGTATATGCATCCCCCCACCCCCAGCACTGCCCTGGTGGACCTGGTGCTGCCGAGCTGAAGCAGGATTGCATCACCACCCGCATTGAACTGCCCTGAATCTCACTGGGAAGGGCCCTGAGCATTGCTTGGGAACCCCCCATCACCACCACCACCCCCAAATTGTCTGACACAAAAAGAATTTGAAAAGTGTTGGATAAGACCTATTTAAGTTATCAAAAAATATATTTTGATGCTTTCCCACTAATGGAAAAAAAAACCGTGAAAACAAATGAATATGAGAAAGTGAGTCAAAATTTATCAAAGGTTATTATTTATTTATTTTGGTATTGGGGCCACATCTAGCAGTGTTCAGGGGCTACTTTTTGCTCAGTGGGGCATTACGCAGTGCTAGGGACCTCCCTCTTGCATGCAGTGTTCTTTTCAGTCCTTTGAGCTACGTCTCTGGCCCCTAATGGTTATTTTTCATGGGGGGCTGCTTCTCCTTTAGACTTGATCCTTTTAATCTTGTGTTGATTAACAGATTGGTTAAGTGTCTTCCTTACTATAGAACTTTAAAGAGATTGTTAAAAGAGATATGCTTCATTATGTTATCCAGATGAATGCAATCTTTCTATGTCTGTCCCTCTCTTTCTGACTCATTTTGCTTAATATGATACTTTCCATGTAGTATCACTTATATGTAAATTTTATGACTTCATCTTTTCTAACAGCTACATAGTACTCTATTCTGTAGATGTACCAAAATAGGAGACTAACACCCAAGAGTGGCCGAGATTAGTACCAGGAGTTATGCTCCATGGCTTGGAGGCCAGCCACACATGCTAGGGGAAAAGGCAGCTCAGATAGAGAAGGGAGCACCAAATAAAGGGTATTGGGAGGATCCTCCCAGGATGGGAGAAGCATGTTGACACTAGACTATAGACCAAACATGATTGCCACTCAATGCCTCTTTTGCAGACCATAACACCCAAAAGGAGAGAGAGAACAAAAGGGAATACCTTGCCACAAAGGCAGGGTGGGATGAGGGGGTTGGGGGGTGGGAGGGATACTGGGACCCGTGGTGGTGGAAAATGGGCACTGGTGGAGGGATGGGTGTTTGCTCATTGTACAATTGAAACCCAGGCACAAAAATCTGTAGATCTACAACTGTACCTCATGGTGTTTCACTAACAAATCACTTAATCACTTAATCACTTAACTTCCCATTAGTCGTCAATTTGCTCGAGTGGGCGCCA